TTGGGATGGCCCCCCCTCGAAAGCCATTTTTTTTCGCATGGGCCCCCCCCCCAAATCCCACCAGCCCCCCTACCTGATAAAAAATGAACGGTCCCTAAATAATGAACGACGGCAGATAATTCTGTGAAAGTGAGGCAAAGACAGTCCGCAGGTAACGAGGCGAAAAACAAATTTACAACATTCGCTGCCCCGCAAAAAATTGTCAAAATCTCGCTAAACCAGCAACCATATTGGTTTATTAACAAATTGTACGTCTAGAGTAAAAGCAAAATCCTAAGGTATATGACCAGATGTAGAAAAAAAAACATGACCATAGGTCGGGAGTGAAAAAGACAGCCTTAGGAAAAAGAGCTGCTCTTCTTGTTTGAGTGACACTACAGCGTGGAAGTGGGTTCATAAAAATAATGGAATAATTGAAAATTCTTACCAGCAATACTGCATTTGGAAACGTTGAACAACCAGAAGTATGCTTGAATCCACTAACGGTGAATGAATTTCCAAGAAACAATTTCCTGAATAGTATCTGCTTGTTATATTGATTTCACCTGTAGTACCACTGAAGGTCCCTACACAAGCTTTAATTGAATGTACAGAAATTAAAAGAACGCTCCTCACGTCGTCCTTGCTGGTGAAGCAATTTTTTTTTTAATTTGTAGATCGACTCATGCGTTTAATGCAAATTTAGTATTGTAAGTTGATATCATCTACCTTTTCACTAGCTGCTAAGAGAGAAAACGTTGCCAATCCTGGTACAAAGTTCATCGCTAATGCTTGGAATGGTCCAGTAAAAACTGTATCTAGACACCTTAATTAAATCAAGCCTTTTGGGTGAGACTACAAATTAATACGACATTGAACATTTGAAGTGTTTGTTCGCACAGGATTGTTGTGCCTCAGTAATTGCTTGAATAATTTCTTAAAAGACACTTCAGGTTACACAAAACTGTGGTCTATTACCACGAATTTCGCCGAGAAATCCTACAAAATGGGCTAAGATCATAGCGCGCCAAAAAATGCACCAAATTTGCATATTTAACTAAACCTGTAGTGTGGTACTGTGCAATAGCTAAGCTAATAAACTTGTGACAATCAGTATCAACAAATCAAGCTTCTAGTGTTTCATTGGATTAAAAAAAACAAACCGTTTAAGTGTTGCAAGACTGCTTTTTAGGAAATCCTTCATTATCAAACACAGCAGTTAGCTACCAACCTGTGCTCTCATATGTGGTACGCAAAGGACCCTCTCCAACAGATGTACGACCTGCAACTTTGATCTCATATCTCGTGGCCTTTATGAGACCTGTAATCCTCAATACTCGGGTTCTTGCGTTCACTTTGACAGTAGTGAAGTTCTCGTAGGAACCATACGGTCTGAAATACACCACGTAGCCAAGAAGAACTCCATGAGTATCTTCTTCAGGTATAGG